CGACTTCTTGTTAAAAACCGCAAGTCCGATTGCTTTGATATTACATATATAGGTACTACATGTGGACCTCTCTCAGATTTGTTCATTTGTGATGATATCTTCAATTCTCTAATTTTGGTGAATATTTTTGTAATTTTTGGTAAAAAGTGATATTTTCGACTTCTTCTTAAAAACCAAAAGTTCAATTGCTTTGATATTACATATATAGATACTACATGTAGACCTTTCTCAGATTTGTTCATTTCGTGATGATATCTTCAATTCTCTAATTTTGGTGAATATTTTTGTCATTTTTGGTAAAAAGTGATATTTTCGACTTCTTGTTAAAAACTGCAAGTCCGATTGCTTTGATACTATACATATTGTTCATTTTCTAATGATGTCTTCAGTTCTTTAATTGAAATGTGCATTGCTAACAGCGGAGCTATCTCAGCCACTAGGCTGCTTGTTTTAGATTATTTATGGATATCTTCATAGATTAATGGGTAATTAATTAAATAAAAATCGATTTTTTGTAATCTTCCGGTCACATGTTGTCCTGTGTGGGTATTTCCAAGATGGCGGCCTGTCAACGTCTTGCGAACGACAGCTGCTATCGTCACGAGCTATGATCGATGGAATCCCTATTTGTATACATAATTCTATCGTTACATTTTAATTTTAATTGAATAGTCACCTCATGTTTTTTTTCCTCAAAATTCTCGAGTCTCCTTGTTGTTGACCTGACAAAACCAACATGTATGTAAACAACATGTTTTGCAGACGGTATGCTATCCATACGGCACTGGGTCCCTGGTCGTGGCACAATTCAATCGTTATGTTTACATTTATTTGAACATCAATCCTCATTGTGTTTTTTTATTTTTCATTTTTTTCCCACTAGGAATGTTGTGCAGTTTATGCTCAAAGCACAACATGATTGTATGGAACAAAGTCCCGTGTACGTCTATGACGAGTTTAACTACAGTAAGGCAGCCAAAGTTTGGAGCACAGCAAAGTCAAGGAGGATTAGTTTAGACTAAGTTTTATGGAACAGTTCACATTAAATGACGATCTTGTCAAATTATGGTATATTATGTAAAGTATTATGTAATGTAAATAAAGTCTTTAGTACATTTTAATACTGTCTTGTATGTTGGTTTTTGACTCACATGTGCGAAGCACAAAATGGGAGTCTTTGCAGTTAGTGTGTCTGTCTGTATGTGTATGTGTGTGTGTGTGTGTGTGTGTATATGTACATGTATATGTGTGTATGTGTGTATGTGTGTCCGACTGTTCCACTGCTATCTCAAGAACCATACATCGGTTTTTGATGAAACTTGGTGCATAGATGCTCTGGGCGAATGCGCAGATTTGATTAGGTTTTGGTAAAAATCCATGCTCGTTAATTACCTAATTTGCATGATAATTAGCTAATTTTTAGCTGTTCTATGACTGTTCCACTGATATATAAAGAACCACTCATTGGATTTTGATGAAACTTGGTACATAGATGCTCTGAACATATGCGCAGATTTGATTAGTTTTTGGTAAAAATTTGTGCGTATTAATTACCTAATTTGCATGATAATTAGCTAATTTTTAGCGGTTCCATGACTGTTCCACTAATATCTAAACAACCACTCATTGGATTTTGATGAAACTTTGTACATACATGCTCTGAACTAATGCTAGGTATGATTAGTTTTGGTAATAATCCGTGGATACTAATTACCTAATTTGCATAATGATTAGT